TCTCTTCTTGTTTCTACAGACAGCAGGAAGGCACGGCACAGCAGTGCTTTCCTGCTGTCTGTAGAAACAGATAGATATACAGAGCCTGTATATCTAGATATACAGAGCCTGTATATCTATCTGCCTGTATATCTAACCTATTCATGGGTAGCGGGGACTAGAATGTGATTTCTATAAGAAGTACTTTCACATATATTCCTGATAACCCACTCCATTGTCGACATGGCAGTAAAGAAAGTAAAGTAAAGAAAGGTACGATATTGAAAAAAATGTTATCAGGGACTTAGCTGAAAGCAACGGGTACCTTTCAAATATAGTAGATGAATTAATTAGAAAACGTAAAATTAGGTAGAAACTTCGTAAATCTTCGACTTTTCGAGAAGACATTGATTCAAAGTTCATTATCCTTATATATTAACCAGCGTTATTGGATTAGATCGCATTTTCAAAAAGTTGACCGTGAAAATAACCTTCGAAACTTTTTGCTCACAACAAATGTACGGTAATCCTAAAGTTACTTAAATTCAAAAAATATATTGGTTCGACTAAACGAGTCATTGAAACTCTTTTCAAAGAACACACAGTACGCATATCCGATCTCGGAGACCATAAGAATCTAATTTCGCTCAACACGCTTTGGAGAACGGACATAAAATAATTCAAAACTTGTCTGAAATTGTTGAAACCCGTACAGGACACTATGTTTTTGGATGTTTTTTTGGATTTATTCTACGCTAGACTTTCCAGTTTTATGTTTTATTGTATGGTTGTGTGGAAATAATTCTGTGGGATTTCGGTGACAACATTTTCCGCGATTTAGCCTTAAGGCATCTTAATACTCTTTTCTATGACCTCCCTAAAGAAAACTTTTCAGTTTTCTATATGCATTTTTCAGTTTATCTACCAAATTTACTCTCTTATTACTCTTTAACCTATTGTTGCTCCACTTCCTTATCTCATGTTTTTCCATAGGACCTTTATATGTTGTTAGTTTATTGTACTCCTTATGATGGGTTCTTTCGTGTATAGGAAGTGATAAAATGAAAATATAATATTAGCATAGTTGGACGTCGGTTTTCCAACATGTTATACATTTTTCATATATATCTGTATAGTTTTGTGCCCTTTGAACTTAGGTTGGGGTAACAAAATAAGAAGAGTAGGTTAGATAAAAAAAGCTGAATGTATTCGAAAGGACCGCGACATCTAAAAACTGTAATTGAAACGTCACACACAAAGAAAACATTGATTATTGCCGTAACAAAACCGTAGTCACGAACATTCAAATATTCCTTGTTCAATGTATAGTTTGTAATAATCTTTTACAGAAATGTGGAAGTCAACTCTTTATACTTACTATAGTATAGTGGGTTTCACGATATATGGTATTGGCTAAACGATTATAATAAAACCAATTAGACCCTTAAGTTGTAAAATCTGAAAATACCCATCATGAATGTAAAATGACCGGATTTATAAATATATATGTATAAATATTTATAAATCCGGTCATGAAGCCCGATGAAAAATACATTCAAAATACTAGAAATATAATCTGGAATCAAGTAAAAAGCGTGAAGATTCCAGTTTCACAAAAAGTCTAGACGACTGGAAAAATATTTGATAAGGCGAAAAATCTATACTATATACGATGAGCAGTGTGTCCCTACAATCAAAAGTCTAAAACACCGGCTCATCAATGAACGAACTCAAAAAAACTGTAGCCTCACTACTCTTTGGCGAGCTCTGTCTGCGAAACTGGCGTTCTGAATATATAACCGAAGAATGGTCCGATTCCTCTGATAAGTATAAAACAAAAGCACCATCAAATAAAGGGAGGAGAATACACGCAGGATCAGAAAATATTTGGATCCCAAACGCTATGTGGCTATCTGCCAAAAATATTAAGGACTCTTGAGATGATTATCACGAATATACGACAGCACAGCTGCTTGAATATAAGATTAACCAACATTTCGTCAATCTTCAAGTAGTACTGTGGTATGTGACATTCCTACCGAGAGTTGGAAAAATTCTTTTAGTCATGTTATAAATGTTGAAAACTCCTACCTTTCTGTAAAGTCAATTGCGTCAATTAAAATTAATTTAGATAAGGATAGCGATAGCGATACTCAACTAAATATAGAACAGAATTGTAACATTCAAATTAATTACTTGTATATCTCCTATATAATGAAAATTCAATTCAAATTTTTTAAATTTGACCCTTTAGCACATTTGCATTTTTACTTGATGATTTTTACACAATGGAATAAAACCAGGTAGTTTATTGCAGTTGATAAGCCAATACCATTCAGAGTGTAACATACTATACCAGAAAATTCGAACATGTGCAGATCCGAAACTAACAAAGAAAAGTAAAATTACACTATGAATCGTTAAAATACATGATCAACAAATTCAAGTATTCACATTTCGATAGAGATTGTTCTACTCCAAATAAATATTCATATTGTGTATATGTGTATGTCTATGTATTCCTAAAGATTTATTCAGTCCGTCTGAAAGCTCATTATAATTCAATATCCATCGTGGTATTACCAGGAAAAGTCGTTATTTTTGGCATACATTCACCAGATCCTACATTGTAGAGACAATTGGGAGAAATGAATCTTTCAAATTTAATTTCGTAATATTTATTTTCTCAGTACCTTTGTAACTTTTCTTTTCACAGACAGCCCACTCATTATATTGTGTACTTTGTAGAATCAAAGCTGACCTATTTCACAAGTAGATCAAACATCATTTATCCAGATAACTCGCAAGAGACTCTCCTCACTTCGTGAGAAGAGGATTTTAACGAATAACTTTGAAGGAAAATATCTTACAAATATCACAAAATATAATCCTGAAAACTGCTTCACCTTCCACTATGGATCTTTCAAATAATGGATTATTTCTGTCAATATCACTTACTACTATAATAATGTAATATTTTATAGAAGTGTCGAGTGACGGCTCGTGCATTGGAGAACAGGGGTGGCTAAAGTCATAAAGACTATATTCACACAGAAAAGCCCGCCGGAGGCGCGAAAATTTTTTGGGGTACCACACCTATTTAAAGCAAAATACGTAATATTTGCTTAAATGCAAACAAAAATTGTGTATTGCCGAAAATTATAACTATGAAACTGACCATTAAAAAAACAAAAACAAGGAAAAAGTGTTGTCTTTGAGTTATTTAATATAAAGTGCAAAATTGTCATATTTGCCCCATAACATTAAAGTTTCTTGTAATTGCCGCGATTAATCGAATCTTCGGTTTCATCGTGTCCGCGAAGAGCAAATTTTTGGGAATCCAAATAAATCGTAATATCGATAAGTCTTTTTAAATTCGACCGATTTTCCCTAAACTCATTATTGAAAGAAATTATGGCCTCTTTTCGAGCTGTATCTAAAGCTGTTGCTATATTTTGTTTGCTAAATAATTTTAATTTATAAGACCGTATTAGGAAGGACACGTTAAAAGGTAAGACCTCGTTAGTCCTTAGCTCGCACAAGTTTCTCAACTTCTGAGAGTTGTCGTTCGTATGGGGGCGACGGCTGATAAACAGAAAACAGAAAAACAGACAGAAGACGAAAATATATGCTCCTTAGATTCAAAATGTCTTTCTGAAGAACGAGGTAAATTTTTTAAATCGGAGTATCCTATTTTAGACCACGTTTGGTATTCGGTTTGTATGGAAAATAAAACACAGGGCCAACAAAAAAGTTTTTCTCGTTCAATGGAGCCGGTTAACCAATCGCATTTATCGTACCAACTAATATTAAATCCTCGATTTTGTCGATTATCTGACGCTTTAATTGAAATCAAATTTGGTTGAGGCCTTCCCAGAGTTTTAATAATGTAAAATTTATTATCAAAAGATAAAAACTTGAAACTATTTGTCAGCAACCAATTTACTATAGCGTCAGATTTTTTAATTTCGTCCAACTTATCCATAATAAATGAAAAAAAAAACTTACAAAACAGTGAAAACCTGAAAACACCTTGAAATTGAAAGAAAACACTTTGAAATACACAATAACAAATATTATCAAGAAACACTGAAACGATTTACCGAAATATTTTTCAGTCCCGGTCCGTCACGGCATCCCGTTCGAATAATTGAATCAAAAACAAACGCAGTCGTACACTAACGAAGACCAACTGGAAGCTAGCCTCCTCTAACGCTATAATTTCTGCAACTAAAATTACAAATCGGAACATATGTCGCTGGCTGGATCGGTCTCGCAGAACTTTTGTTTTTTAAAGCGGTCGGAGGCTTGGCTCCCTTGCAACGTATCAACGATGGCATTTATTATTTCGGGTTGATGGTTTTTTCGTTATTCGTTCGTGGGTGGGCGGTGCGTTTGAGTTTTGTTGATGCAGGACACAGTGTGGTACGTACTACGTAGTGAGTGATAGTGTTTTTTCGAGCATATTATGTATTTATATTAAAAATTAATGGTGAAGTAATGATAACCAAGCATTTTTAGAAAAAAATTATCATAATTATTTGTTAATATCTTTTAATTTATTGCGATGAATATCCTCAAATTTCATGGGGAGGCTAAGCCTCCATTGCCTCCTATGACGAGCCGCCGCTGAGTGTCAATACAAAAGGCCACTTTGACAATTCTTTGTTTTCCTCGGGAAATATGCACCACCATTTTGCATCAAATTGCTGGAGATATTTTTGCAAAACAAAACATAGAAATTAAAGTCGAAGATATTTGTATTATAATGGTAACATCTCCAGCAAATTCATCTATGTAGTTTTACTGCTTAAATACAGTACTGTGCTATGTTAATTTCTTGAATATTTATTTTTGAATATCTAATTGATACCGTTTTGAAATGATAATATACCTAACCAAGTTCAAAGAGGTGATTCTGCAATTTTCATCCAATATGAAAAGGCTATCTATTTTTGAAGTAGTATCCATGAAATACATTTCCAAAAACGTACAAAAGTGAATCATTTCTTATTCCGCAGGTACTTGCTGAAGTGAAACTAAGTGCCAAAACTTACCGTTTAGAGAGAAACCTAGCGGAAGATAGATCGTCAGTCGAAAACGACATTCACGAACTTACAAGCGAAGTTGTTCCTACCACTGCTACTGTCAAGCCTCCATTGACTACTTTAGATGACGTTTTCATTAGTGTGAAAACAACCAAAAACTATCATACCAAGAGACTGCCGATTATACTGAAGACTTGGTTTCAGTTAGCCAGGAAGCAGGTGAGCTGGAATTTTACGAAATTCACTAGTAATTATAGGCGATTTATGGAAAAATTTAGTATTGATGACAAAAATATATTTTCCAACTCTTCATTAGCATTATTGTGGATATTTTCATTAATACCATTTTGAAGATACAAGAAAATATATTGAATACAAGAAATATATTAAAATAAAATCATTATTATTTGGTGAAGGTGAATGGAAGAACAAATGACTGAAATCTTACTACATAAATATAAAACAAGTGAGAACAATATATGAAAATTGTATGAAATAAATAGTGATACTATTGAAGTTGTTTACCTGAACAGTGAAAAAATAAAAGTTATGAGTTTATGTATAATCGAATCTAGTTGTTATGAATCCAGCCGTGGCGATCTAGGTAGAGTATTGAAAGCAAAGATGAATTATTCTGAAGGTGATGAAGAAAGACACAAACAAGGTTACTTTCTATTACTGTATAAATTTCGGTGGAGTTGCCGAGAATGAGCAGTTTAGCATAAGGTGTGGCAGTGATAACAAGAAAAGTAATTTAGTAAAATGATTATTAGTTTAGCACTGTAACGAGTACCAGTGTTTTCAAGTTGTACTTTAGTAACATTGAACATTGAAGTAATTAATTCAGCTATGGAAATGTATATGCCTGGTATCTGTTACACAAATATCAAATTTTTCGAACTGTTACTGGAATCGAACAGATATAATTTTATGATACATATATTATTTAATACATACTCCATTCAAAATAATTAAGATTAACAGGTAGTCGTAGTTGAATAGTCCAAATAGAAACATTTCATTTCGAACATTTTTTAAGTTTTGTAAAAAAACTGAACTCCATTGCTCAACTTTGAAGGGTCAAAGGTTTGTTGACATCATTCGATTGAATATCAACACAAATTTCATTCATTTCAAATACATTTAATGTGAAAATTTCATCTATCTATGCCTCTGGATTGAGAACGAAGATAGGAATTAAGTTTATTGACACTTTCCAGCAATATTCGTATTTTGTATATACAATCACATTCGCATTCAATTTCCTCAATTTTATATCAACAGAAAGGAGAAAGAATTGATACTTATTTTTCAAAGACTTGAATTTACTTTTATCGTTCCTGTGGCTTTTTGGGCAAAACTAGAGGTATTTATTCGCATTTGATTAAAAACACCAAAAATAAGACACCGTAGCACGAGACTACCAATTATAATGAGAACGGAACAGGTAAAAACTAACAATTTCTGGTGATAAATCTTTGAGCTAATGATGGGTGTGAGTCGTACATGACTGTTACCGCCAAAAATAAAAAAAATCTTTTACTTTGTATCTGAAAGGTTTATAAATAACATGGTGTGGAGATACATTTTCAGAAGTAATGCATAAAAGATGTAGATCTAGAAGTACTTCCATGACCGCTCCATACATCAGTGGTCTGACAGTCATCACATATATCCAATAGATTTGTTTGGATCCCGACTACCAACATTTTTCACAAATCCTTCTACATGTTATTGGAACAGCCCGGCTTAGTATAAAACTTTTTGTAAGTGAAAGTTTCAGGTGCGTTTTCTATCGGGATAATATATAGATATTTCATTTCTACTGCAAATGGAATAATCTCACCATTGGATTAGAGTGAAATTTAATCATCCAGATTCCTCTTACTGGTGATGGAGACTATCACAATTTTGTTGGGGTTTACATCGTTCTCTGGAGAATATTACAGGCTATACTTCCTTATGTGGTTCATGTTGGGATGGCAAGGTCATCTGTAAAAGATCGCCGATCTACTTCTGTTAAATCGGGGACTTCAAGAGACTATTCATAGAAAGTGACTACAGAAGTAGCAGGGATGGTGCCCCTCCACTGGTCACATGGAACCTAAAAGCCTCATCTTCAAGAGTCTATCTCCTGGTCTGTATGATGAATGTATGCATCTTGGTTAGACTTGTTAGGATAAAGGCATGTATATTGATAGGTGTCTTACCTAATTATTTGAATGGGTGTGTGTTGTTAAATTGTTAGAAAAAATTAGAAATGTAAAATTGTTATTTGAATGAATAATTGACACTGAAACTATATGGAAGTTATCTCCGCAGAGAATGTGAGACTCCTCAGTTGTTGGCCCAGTTGACTTGTTTCGCAAATCTCCCTATACATCTCGCGCCCAATTTTCCTCCGACCTTCCAAACCTTGTAATATTGAATAGAATCCCAGATGTACATATCCTTTTGTTGAATATATTCGGAAAATCTAATGCCCAACCGAAAAATCCGCGGTAAAATATCCAATGCACACGAATCTCTCAAATTAATCTAACTAGTCCCCTGATATCCAGAATCAAAGCCCGGCTAGACGGCCTTCTTTATAATTTATACTCGCGAAGGGAAAGGGCCTCTGCCTTTCCCACGGGTAAATCCACGCGTACAGCGTACGTCAAAATTGATTGTCGCACGCACAATGAGCTTTGTTTGGCACAGATCAGGTCTTGTGTCGAAATGGCACTTGATCTATCATTCGAGGGGGTGCTATTCGTTGTTAGATAAGTCTACCCACGAAATCTAGGTGCACACTTCTCGTCGAAGCCCTCTCTGTTTGTTTTGTGTTTGTATTTCAATGAAACGGAAGTCATGTAAATTTACATTGGAAATCGTGCGTGGTTGTTAGGGGGGTAGTCACCAGACAAGAACAGATTGAATTTATTTGTTAGTTACAGTAATTGGTGCTTATGAGAGCGATATGTAGCGTGGGATTATTTTTGAGAGAGGAAATTGTCATGAAGTGAGAATGAGTGACATGAGAAAGCTCTTGACGTGAAAGTGTCATAAGGAAACTGAACTGATTTCGATTACTGAATCACAAAACGTAACGAAAGTAATCAGTGAGTGCGTAATTCACTGTTTTTCAATTAAATTATTGAATATACAGAGTATCCTATCTTCGAGTGATGCTGTCGTCATCGGTTTCTTGAATTGTTCCAATTTCCAGAGTTATCTTATTGAGAGTATTAAAAAAATCACAAGTTGCATCGTACTGGATGGGCAACAATACCAACTAACTTTCCACGGGAGTACTTAACATCATCAGAAAGTGTTAAAATTCTGTAATATTTGCAAAAAAATAAAATGAGAGTACTCATCACATTTTTTGAGAAATAATAAAGTATCTATACATAGAATAGGAGCCAGTGACAGATTTTCATGACAATTCCCTCCCAATCGAAACTTCGTAAAATGCATTAGGGATTAATACCCTCAACCGTCAGTTGCGACACCTTGGGTAGGGCGGGCAATATCAGCCTCCCACGTATGAAAAAACGTGATTTTAGTCATTTCCTCCCATTTTAAAGTTTGTCGGATTATAGTTTATCCAATATCTTGAAGGGAAAATGAAGTCAGCTAACCATAAAATGGTGGATTTACATTTGCTGGCTGCCTGCTACCAAACGTATATTCTCAATGTTTTCCTCTCAACTGAAACTTACTTGGTGACAGTTTATATGTTGCTATGAATGAAAACCAATGTCAGCTTGCTGTATCTCAGTGGAAAGTTCGTCGGCTGGTACCTTAAAAGGTGTAACGTAGCAGCATCTATCACCTACTGATGACTTTTCTCTTGACTTAGAGCTGGCTATTTTTTTTCATTATTTACTAAAGCATGTTAACAATCCTGTTATGAATTTTCATCCGGGAGGAAATCGTGTTTTGACAGTATGCTGATTTGAGTGTTTTGATAACAAATATGAAGTTTAATGAAATTATTTTCAGCTATTCTCTTTTTTCAATTCTTCTTTTTTATTAGTTCTTTCAGGGATTTCAAATCATTTCATATAATATCAAGCAATGGAAGTACAAACTAAAGAAATTCATCATGAAACACTCTCAAACAAATGAAGTTTAATTATGGAGGAAATGTTGAAGTCTGAAGATTCTTCAGTTGTTGAGACCAAAATTGTGTGATGTAACACTCCCTCAAATAATGATTATTCAGTTGTGATTCGCATGGTGGTAGAGAAGAACTGCCAAAACTTTATTTGGGCAACTTAAATTCATCATCATTGTCCAAAAATTCGTAAGTTTTCTATAACAATGTAACCCTAGCATCGTTTATGTTTCTCAACCGATTAAGGGCATACATCTAACAAGCAAACTCTTGAATTTTGGTAAATAAATCTTTCCTGTTCATCGATGACTCTGTCATTTGTACGAACACTCCGTAAAAGCTCCAGATTTTGACATTATCGAAAAGGACTGCTTTTTGCCTTCTCTAAAAAATGCAGCCAGTGTATTTATGTCTATTTCCACGTGAATATTGTAAACTACAAACAGATTATTTTTCATTCCCCTTTCGTTACTTGTGTCTTAGGAATTACCCGCTCCTATGACCTTTACCCACCTATTAGTTAATCCGGTCATCTTTCCTCTCCCTATAATGACCAATCTGACACCTTCTCTAATTAGCTAGCTAGAATATTGTAATGTAAAATTGTATTCATTACAGTTTGAACTTTGTAAGAGTACAGTCAGAATGAACCTTATCTTTTCTACAGTGCAACTAGCCAGTTATTTATCTTATCTTACTTGTCCACATGATTCAATACAATTCTTGTGTACATATTAATATTCATACTCACGATGAAATTATCGTGAGTCAAAACAAATATAGTACTGGGAATAGAGCAGACGCTTGCTTTTTTATGGTCGCATCTATATGCTCTTCTCACTAATCAAACTAATTCTTCCATTAGTTCTAGGAGAACCGATTCAGATGGCGCTATTTTACAAAAATCCATATTCCTAGTATAGCATCTGGAGAAGGTAATTTCAATCCACAATCTAGCTGCAATGTAGAAATGGCTAAAGTAAAGCTTCAATCTGTAAAAATAGAGAATAACTTAAGAAACGTGATTTCCTTTCGGATGAAAATTTATAAGAGGATTGTTAAAATGCTCTAGTAAATAATGAAAAAAATCAGCTAGCTGTAAGTCAAAGAAAAA